TTTTTTTAAACGATTAGCCCAGCATGGTAGTGCATGCCTATAGTCTCAGTTACTCAGGAGGCTGAGGCAGGAGAGTGGTTTGAGCCAGGGAGATCAAGGAAGTGAGCTATGATGGCCCCCACTGTATGCCAGCTTGGGTGACAAAGTGAGACCCTATAGCAAAAACAAAAACAAAAAACCAACAAACCTCCTTGTTAGCATCATGGCAAGTAAAAAAGAAAAGAAAATAAAAATAGAAATAAACTGAACATGGTGGCTCATGTCTGCAATCCTAGCACTTTGGAAAGCTGAGATGGGAGGATTGCTTGAGGGCTGGAGTTCAAGACCGGCTTGGGCAGCATGGTGAGACAGACCTCATCTCTACAAAAGAATCTTTAAAAATAAAAAAGAAATAATTTGCCGGGCACGGTGACTCACACCTGTAATACCAGCATTTTGGGAGGCTGAGGCGAGCAGATCACGAGGTTAGGAGTTCAAGATAAGCCTGGCCAATGTGGTGAAACCCCGTCTCTACTAAAAAATACAAAAATTAGCCGGGCATGATGGTGTGCGCCTGTAGTCCCAGCTATTCGGTAGGCTGAGGCAGGAGAATTGCTGGAACCTGGGAGGCAGAGGTTGTAGTGAGCCAAGAGATGGAGCCACTGCACTCCAGCCTGGGCAACAAGGCAAGACTCCATCTAAAAAAAAAAAAAAGAAAAAGAAAAAGAATCTAAAAAATATTTAAAGAAAATAAAAAATAAACAAAAATCAAGATCACAGAAAGTGATGGAACACAGATTTGAACTCCTGGTCTGACTCCAGGACCATTTAACCATTCTACTATTGGGCTGTATCTTGGCTAAGTTAAAAAGTTAGTTACTTTCTTTATTCTTTTTTTTTGAGATGGAGTTTCGCTCGTTACCCAGGCTGGAGTACAATGGGGCGATCTCAGCTCACTGCAACCTCCGCCTCCTGGGTTCAGGCAATTCTCCTGCCTCAACCTCCTGAGTAGCTGAGATGACAGGCACGTGCCACCATGCCCAGCTAATGTTTTGTATTTTTAGTAGAGACGGGGTTTCACCATGTTGACCAGGATGGTCTCGATCTCTTAACCTCGTGATCCACCCGCCTTGGCCTCCCAAAGTGCTGGGATTACAGGCGTGAGCCACCGTGCCCAGCATGGTCTGGATCTCTTGACCTCGTGATCCACCCGCCTCAGCCTCCCAAAGTGCTGGGATTATAGGCATAAGCCACCGCGCCCGGCTTTGTTACTTTCTTGAGTGATAAAGACTAGAGGGGTGGCAGGGAAGATAGTTACTTAAGAGAAAAAAAAAAAAAAAAACTGGCACCAAACTAAATATCCATCACTAGTTGAATAGCAAAATAAGTTGTGGTAAATTCATATAATGGAATACTATGTAGCCATGAAAATGTACTACAACTACAGAAATCAACAGGGAGGAATTTCTACACTTAAATATTGAGCAGGTAGTCAGGTACAGTGGCTCATGCCTGTAATCCCAATACTTTGGGAGACCAAGACAGGAGGATTACTTGAGCTCAAGAGTTTGAGACCAACCTGGCCAACATAGTGAGACTCCATCTCTATTTTTTTAAATGAAATTTTAAAATTTTTGAGGAGGAAAGCAAACAAGGGATATTTGCAATATGATTACATTTACATAAACTCAAAGTGAGGCAAAATCATACAATACATTGTTTAGAAATACATAAATACACTGCAAACCTAAATGAGACTCGAGAATGAGTAATATAAAATTCAGAACAGTGGCTTCCTCTAGAGGAAGTGACAAGACATTGAGATTAGGGAGGAGTTCACAGAGTGCTTCAAGGAGTTGGTTACATTCATTTTTCTTTTTTCTTTTTTTGAGACGGAGTTTCGTTCTCTTTGTTGCCCAGGCTGGAATGCCATGGAGTGATCTTGGCTCACCGCAACCTCCACGTCTTGAGTTCAAGCAATTCTCCTGCCTCGGCCTCCCAAGTAGCTGGGACTACAAGTGCCTACCACCACGCCTGGCTAATTTTTGTATTTTTAGTAGAGATGGGGTTTCACCATATTGGCCAGGCTGGTCTTGAACTCCTGACATTGTGATCCACCTGCCTCGACCTCCCAAACATTCATTTTTCTTAAACGAAATGCTGCTTATTGTTTCTCTTAAATTGCACAGTTAAGTGATATACTTCCTGTTTACATAATATATGTATACACGTAATAGATTTTACACAAGTACTGTGAGGTTCGAAAGACAGAAGTCAAGTTTTCTGGTGGGAGTTCAGCAATTGAATCAGATTTTATTTTATTTATTTATTTATTTTGGACAGAGTTTTGCTCTTGTTGCCCAGGCTGGAGTGCAATGGAACAATCTCGGCTCGCTGCAACTTCTGCCTCCTGGGTTCAAGCGATTCTCCTGCCTCAGGCTCTTGAGTAGCTGGAATTACAGGTGCCCGGTACAACGTCCAGCTAAGTTTTCTTGTATTTTTGGTAGAGATGGGGTTTCACCATGTTGGCCAGGTTGGTCTTGAACACCTGACCACAGGTGATTTGACTACCTCGGCCTCCCAAAGTACTGGGATTACAGGCATGAGCCACCACACCCGGCCTAACTTTTGTATTTTTGTATTTTTAGTATAGAGGTTTTGCCATGTTGGCCAGGCTGGTCTGGAATTCCTGACTTCAGGTGATCCGCTCACCTTGGCTACCAAAGTGCTGGGATTACAAGTGTCAGCCACCGCATCCAGCAGAAAGAGGACGTTTCAGAATGAAGAACTAGCATAAGCACAGAGAAGGGGGAGCAAAGCGGGAAACAGGGAGTAGGTCATTTTTGCAATAGTCTGCAATATTTGTAAGGCATTATTGGTGGGAAATAAGTAAATTTGGCTGTGGCTCACGCCTGTAATCTCAGCACTTTGGGAGGCTCAGGCGGGCAGATTGCTTGAGCCCAGGAATTTGAGACCAGCCTGGGCAACATAGCAAGACCCTGTCTCAACAAAAAAGTAAAAAAAGTAGCTGCGAGGCTGCTTAACCCCAAGATTCTGGACAGAAAAAAAACAAAAAAGAAAAAAGAATAAAAAAAGAGAGAAAAGGAAAAAAAAAAAAGTAGCTTTGGGTGCAATGGGATGGCTCACGCCTGTAATCCCACCACTTTGGAAGGCCCAGGCAGTTGGATTGCTTAAGCCCAGGAGTTGGAGACCAGCCTGGGCAACATGGTGAAACCCTGGCTCTATAAAGAATCTAAAAATTAGTTGAGCATGGTAGCGTGTGCCTGTGGTCCCAGCTACTCCGGAGGCTGAGGGGGAAGGACCACCTGAGTCAGGAAGGTGTAGGTTGCAGTGAGCCACGTTGTTTGTGCCACTGCACTCCAGCCTGGGTGATAGAGTGAGACCCTGTCTCAAAAAATAAAAAAAATAAAGCTGTGGCAGAATGCGGAGATTCTTGGAAGCTAGAAGCTCTCATGGGGCATTTGTAAATCTCATACTACAAATAAGTCTTTGTATCAGTTAGGCTTCCTTAGTTTTAGGAAACAATAAATAATTATAGCTAACTTAAGTGAAAAGAGAAAGAGAAGAGAAAAAAGATGTGGAGACAGAGAGAGAGAGGAAAAGACAAAAGGAGGGGAGAGGAAAAGGAGAGAGAAGAGAGAAATAGATTGATTAGTGTATTGGTTACATAACCAAGTGACCAGTCAGGAACCCAGCAGCTCTGGGGTGCTCAATGTGATGCATTCATCAACCCACTCTTAAGAGCACTTGATTCCAGCTACCTTTTTATTCAGTGTGTCTCCAGCTAAGATTCTACGTCCCCGGAGAGTCTGACTGACCTAGTGTTTGTTTCCACCTTTGTGGCCTGGGTTCTGTGCTTGCAGCTCATTAGAATACAGGGAGCAAAGACAAGCAGGTAGTTTCCCAAAGGAAGGGATGCTGAGTACATTTAAAAAAAAAAAGTGTGGATTTTTCAGTAAATTATGGGATGGTTACTACGTAAAACCTAAGATTTCCCTTATTCAAATAAATTACCTTTCAGATTAGACATCTAAACACGCACTAATTTAGTTAAACCCCTGGGTTCGTTGATATGATCACAAGGAGCTAACATTTTCGTTGTTGTTTGCAGTAATCTGAAATTTCTCTCTTCACAATTGCTTTCCTCTCGAATAATTCCCATTTTTCAAAAAAAAATTTTTTTTTTTTTGAGACGAAGTTTCACTCTCGTTGCCCAGGCTGGAGTGCAGTGGCGCGATCTCGGCTCACCGCAACCTCCGCCTCCTGGGTTCAGGCAATTCTCCTGCCTCAGCCTCCTGAGTAGCTGGGATTACAGGCATGCGCCACCATGCCCAGCTGATTTTTTGTATTTTTAGTAGAGACGGGGTTTCACTATGTTGACTAGGATGGTCTCGATCTTTTGACCTCGTGATCCACCCGCCTGGGCCTTCCAAAGTGCTGGGATTACAGGCGTGAGCCACCGCGCCCGGCCCATTTTTCAAAATTTTATTTTATTTTTTCTGGAGACCGAGTCTCGTGTCGTCCAGGCGCGATCTCAGCCAACTTGCAGCCTCCGCCTCCCGAGTTCAAGCTATTCCCCTGCCTCAGTCTCCCAAGTAGCTGAGACTACAGGAGCGAGCCCTCCATCACGCCTGGCTAATTTAATTCCCAGATTGATACTCATTGGTTCTGAGATGGGTCAATTATCATTCGGAGAAGACTTATGTCGACTGGCAGAAAAAGATGAAAGAAATATAAGAAAACGGTGCCACTGAGAGAGGAGCCCTGCGAACCAGCAGAGCAATCCCAAGCCGCAATTCCCCCTTCGGTGGATCGATTACCAAGGCTTCCTGGCAGTAGCTCTCCGGGGCTGCCGACGTGAGCTGAACTGCACATTGGGAACTGTAGTCGAGCGGGGAAGGACGAGGGGCAGGCACCGCACACGCGTACAGGAGCCCAGGTCAACAAAGACGCGCCGTGCGCGCGCGCGCCGGGGAAAAACACGGGAAGACGGACGTGCGCGTGCGCAGCCGCCGCTGGAAGCCACCAGGCGGCGGAGAGGACAGCGGCAAGGAGGGAGGGGCCCAATCCACCGACTGCAGGAGGAGAAGGGGTTGTGCTCCTGGCCGAGGAAGGAGAAAGGGGCGGGGCCGGCGGGCAGCGCGCGGCTGTGCAGAGCTCCTGAGGCCGGCGGGCAGGCGGGGGTCTGTGGCCCTAGCCGTTGCAGTGGCCGCCGCCGTCACTTGGTCCCCGTCGGTCTGCGGGAGGCGGGTTATGGCGGCGGCGGCAGTGAGAGCTGTGAATGAATTCTCCGGGTGGACGAGGAAAGAAGAAAGGCTCCGGCGGCGCCAGCAGCCCGGTGCCTCCCAGGCCTCCGCCCCCCTGCCTGGCCCCCGCCCCTCCCGCCGCCGGGCGGGCCCCTCCGCCCGAGTCGCCGCATAAGCGGAACCTGTACTACTTCTCCTACCCGCTGTTCGTAGGCTTCGCGCTGCTGCGCTTGGTCGCCTTCCACCTGGGGCTCCTCTTCCTGTGGCTCTGCCAGCGCTTCTCCCGCGCCCTCATGGCAGCCAAGAGGAGCTCCGGGGCCGCACCAGCACCGGCCTCGGCCTCGCCACCGGCGCCTGTGCCGGGCGGCGAGGCCGAGCGCGTCCGAGTCTTCCACAAACAGGCCTTCGAGTACATCTCCATTGCCCTGCGCATCGATGAGGACGAGAAAGGTAACTAGGGGGCTGGGGGAGGGAGCGGCGGCGCAGGGAAGAAGGCGGTGGGGTCGCCGTGGGAGGGCAACACCTGCGTCCCTGTCCTGCGGGAGGGGATGGTGCACCCCCGGAATTGATCTGCCCCGGGAGACTGCATCCCCATAGATCAGAGCCTCATCTAGTATTCTCAGTCAAAACCTCTCCCCTTTCAGGGCGCACTAGCCGTCGACTTTGTTTCAGACACCAGCCTTCCCCCACACTTCTGCATGACCCAAGTCACTGTGAGACACCCAGACATGGTGATGACAGTGACAGTTGTCCTAGAGTGACCACACCGATCCTTTCTTAGCACTGTAAAGAGTGTGAGGCTTCCTCTGAGCCAAGGTTTCCAAAAGGTTTTGATTGTGAAGAAGCAGTGCCTTGTTAACTGGCTTTCAATGAAAGCAGGGTACTATAGTGTCAGAAAGAAAGAACAAATGGTGACAGTTTTGAAAGGAATAGCTGCATATGACTGCAGTTGAATTTGTATCATTTTTATCAAGATAATTATTTTATCTGTACAGTGATTCCTGAATGCTTTTCAGTGTAGTTACATTTAGCATAAAACTTTTCCCCCTGGTTGCTTTGATTTTAATTAAAGCAGTTTTCAAAGATAGCCTTTAATTTCCAAGTTGAAATGTTTAATGAATGAATTGCATAAATGTAAACATATCACTTTACAATAAAACCTAAAACATATGTTTCTGAATGAGAGCAAGGATACTACATCCTTAGGGTTTCTTTCTTTTTTTTTTTTAAGACAGAGTTTCACTCTTATCCAGGCCGGAGTGCAATAGCGAGACCTTGGCTCACTGCAACTTCCGCCGCCTGGGTTCAAACGATTCTCCTGCCTCAGCCTCCTGAGTAGCTGGGATTACAGGCATCCGCTACCACGCCCGGCTAATTTTATATTTTTAGTAGAGACGGGGTTTCCCCATGTTGGTCAGGCTGGTCTCCAACTCCTGACTTCAGGTGATCCACCCGCCTTGGCCTCCCAAAGTGCTGGGATTGCAGGCGCACCCGGCCTCATGTTTCTTTTAAGCTAACATTTTTTAGTATATGTGCCAGGCATTGTGCTATTAGCTTTGTATGTGTTATCTTTTTTTTTTTTTTTTGAGACGGAGTTTCACTCTTGTTACCCAGGCTGGAGTGCAATGGCGCGATCTCGGCTCACCGCAACCTCGGCTCACCGCAACCTCCGCCTCCTGGGTTCAGGCAATTCTCCTGCCTCAGCCTCCTGAGTAGCTGGGATTACAGGCACGTGCCACCATGCCCAGCTAATGTTTTTGTATTTTTAGTAGAGACGGGGTTTCACCATGTTGACCAGAATGGTCTCGATCTCTTGATCTCGTGATCCACCCGCCTCGGCCTCCCAAAAGTGCTGGGATTACAGGCTTGAGCCACCGCGCCTGGCCTGTGTTATCTTTTTTTTTTAAAAAATAGGAACTATCCCAGACCATGAAAAGTTATTTAATCCTCACAGTAATGCTGTGAGATGAAGGTATTATGGGTATCAGCATTTTAGAGGTGAAGAAAATGAGGCTCAAAAGGTAAAGCAGGTCATTCCAAACCTATGCTAATAGTTAATGAAAAATTTTTTATGGAAAATAAGTGAAATAAGGAGAAGTCTCACTTTTACAATTCCCTCCTTTTATCCTTATTTCCGGTATGCTGAGAGCTTGCTTCTCCCTCTGCCTAAGAAACCCACTTTTCTCTCACACCTCAATTAGATGCTCACTTGCATTGTCCATTAATGAAAACGAGAAATCTGCACTTCATTCATAGTCTCTCTCTCTACTACCAACATCAAAAACTGTTCTAGAATTTCAGTCTTGTTGAAACCTATTTTCTTTGTGGGGCCCGGGAGTGGGAAGTAGGATATAGCGAAAGAAGCATGTATTCATGGTTTTGGACAGAGGTCAAGGAGGGAGATAACTTTTAAGAATACTATGTGTTTGTGGAAGGAAATTTTTTATTAACTGCTCCATTCTTTTTTTTTTTTTCCTGAGACACAGTTTCACTCTGTCACCCAGGCTGGAGTGCAGTGGTGTGATCTCAGCTTACTGCAACCTCCGTCTCCCAGATACAAGCAATTCTCCTGCCTCAGTCTCCCAAGTAGCTGGAACTATAGGTGCGCCCCACCACGGCTGGCTAATTTTTTGTATTTTTAGTAGAGATGGGGTTTTACCATGTTGGTCAGACTGGTCACAAACTCCTGACCTCAAGTGATTTGCCTGCCCTGACCTCCCAAAGTGCTCAGATTACGGGTGTGAGCCACCGAGTCCGGCCAGCAAGCTCCATTCTTTATCACCTCTTAGGAACATCCAGGATCCTTTGGAGAGAATGAAAATGGTTGTGATGCTACTGCTGGCTTTAAATAAATAAAAGTCATTGTTTCAACAATGTATAAAAATTAAAAAAAAAAAGAAAATGGTTGTGACGTTTTAGAATAGAGGAGCATGTTTAAGAGTAGATCATTTTTTGGGCCCGGCAAGGTGGTTCACACCTATAATCCCACCACTTCGGGTAACAGATCAAAACTCTGTCTCAAAAAAAAAAAAAAGAAAATAGTAGATCACTTTTTACTGGGCACCATGGCTCACACCTGTAACTCTAACACTTTGGGAGGCTGAGGTGGGTGGATCGTTTGAGCCGATGAGTTGGGAGTCCAGCCTGGGCAACATAGTGAAACCCTGTCTCTATGAAAAACACAAAAATTAGCTGGGCTCAGTGGCGATGCCTTTAGTCCCAGCTACTTGGGGGGCTGAGGTAGGAGTATCACTTGAGCGCGGGTTGTTCAGGCTGCAGTGAGCTGAGATCACGCAATTGCACTCCCGACTGGGTGACAGGAGTGAGACCCTGTCTCTTAAGATTGTTTTAGTTGTTGTATTTAGGAAGAGAATGTCAGAACATGCAAGGAAATTTTATTTATTTATTTGTTTGTTTGTTTATTTATTTTGAGACGGAGCCTTGCTCTGTTGTCCAGGCTGGAGTGCAGTGGGATGATCTCGGCTCACCACAAGCTCTGCCTCCCAGGTTCAAGTGATTCTCCTGCCTCGGCCTCCCTAATAGCTGGGACTATAGGTACTCACCACCGTGCCTGGCTAATTTTTGTATTTTTTGTAGAGAGGGTGTTTCACAGTGTTGGCCAGGCTGGTCTCAAACTCCTGACCTTGTGATTCGCCTGCCTCAGTCTCCTGAAGTGCTGGGATTACAGGCGTGAATGACCGTGCCCGACCTATTTGTTTATTTATTTATGAGACAGTCACACTCCATTGCCCAGGCTGGAGTGCAGTGGCATGATCTTGGCTCACTGCAACCTCCACCTCCCATATTCAAGGGATTCTCCTACCTCAGCCTCCTGAGCAGCTGGGATTACAGGCATATGCCACCACGCTCGGCTAATTTTTGTATTTTTGGTAGAGACGGGGTTCCACCAAGTTGGCCAGGCTGGTCTCAATCTCCTGACCTCAAGTGAACCGCCTGCCTTAGCCTCCCAAAGTGCAGGGATTACAGGTGTGAGCCACTGTGTCTGGCCAGAAGGAAATTTTAGTTAACACTGTTAGGTGACGAGAGTTGGGAAGTAGGATAAAAGGAGAGATTAAGGAAAACCTAGGTATGAAAAATAAAAGACCCTCAGCTCTTAGATTTGAAGAAATAGCAGTTCCATGTAAGGAATAAACGAAATAGAATTCAGACCTCAGGTCTCAAGCTGGTGACTTAAATCTTTGAGTATCACATATATGAATATATCTATTAAACTTAAATCCTCTTAAGCATTTTTATTTTTCTCTGAGAACATACTTAATCTAAAAAAATTTTATTTTTCAGTTGGATACATTAAATATGTAAAAAAATTTATTTTATCTATTTTAGAGACAGGGGCTCATTCTCTTACCCAAGCTGGAGTGGAAAATGATCATAGCTCACTGCTAGATGCTAGACTCAAGTGATCCTCTTTTTTTTTTTTTTTTTTTTTTTTGGCTAGAGGTTGGATCTTGTTATGTTGTCCAGGCTGGAGAAATTTCAACAATATTTTCAGTGATCTGTGTGCTGCATATTTCATACTCTTTCTACTGATAATGTTTCTGTTCACAACTTTAAAAAATTTATATTTTGGGCCGGGCGCGGTGGCTCAAGCCTGTAATCCCAGCACTTTGGGAGGCCGAGGCGGGTGGATCACGAGGTCAAGAGATCGAGACCTTCCTGGTCAACATGGTGAAACCCCGTCTCTACCAAAAATACAAAAAATTAGCTGGGCATGGTGGTGCGTGCCTGTAATCCCAGCTACTCAGGAGGCTGAGGCAGGAGAATTGCCTGAACCCAGGAGGCGGAGGTTGCGGTGAGCCGAGATCGCGCCATTGCACTCCAGCCTGGGTAAAAAAAGAGAAAAACCGTCTCAACAAAAAAACACTTTAAAAATCAAAATTTTATATTTTGATTATTAAAGTGGACACCAGAATGGGCTATTGACAACTCTGTAGTTTGATTTGAGTTCAACAACTGATGCCGTCATATGCCAAATTAAATTAGTTCAGACTGAAACAGATTAGTTACAGATTCATTTTCCTTTAAACATGAAGTAAAACTGTCCAAGTGTGGTGGCTCACATCTGTAATCCCAACACTTTGGGAGGCCGAGGCGGGCAGATCATGAGATCAGGAGATCGAGACCATCCTGGCCAACATAGTGAAACCCTGTCTCTACTAAAAATACAAAAATTAGCCAGGAGTGGTGGCATGTGCCTCTAGTCGCAGCTCTTTGGGAGGCTGAGGCAGGAGAATTGCTGGAACACGGAAGAAGGAGGTTGCAGTGAGCCGAGATCACGCCACTGCACTCCAGCCGGATGACAGAGTGAGACTTCTTCTCAGAAAAAAAAAAAAAGTAAAACTTCAGCTGGATGTGGTGGCAGGCACTTATAATTTCAGCTACTCCGGAGGGTAAGGCAGGAGAATTGCTTGAACTCAGGAGGTGGAGTT